CACTTTATCACATAAACCGCGGCGCAGGAGTGTAATAAAGCCATTTAATAAAAACTATATTACACTAGTGTAATAACACTTTAACGTGACGTCATTTGCGCTATAGAGAAACATAGCGTTAAAGCGCGCTAATGTTAGCGTTACACTATGGGCGTGTCATTGAAAAATTAATCATTTTAACATTTTACTGTTCTTATTTTATATATGTGATAAATAGAATATTATATTCGTGTAGATTCAATACTAAATTTATTGAACTTGTTGAATAAAACAATATTATGCTCGCCAGAGGCTCGTATAATATAATTTTATTCAACTTGTTCAATAAATTTAGTATTAAACTACACTCATTCAATATCCTCTATATCTTTTAAGTGCTTGATAGTAAAAAAGAGCCTAGATAATATTAGAATTTGAAAAAAGAGGATGATATTATATAAAATTATATATGACATTATTAAGTTACAAGTCTTGGATACTGACCAAAGATTTTTGAAAGTTCTTTAAGATATATTCTTCATAATAATTAACAAGAAGTTGCACATAAATCTTTAATCAAAATGTTACATCATTTAATGCAAACCCCAATGCCAGAGTAAGAACAGAAGCCTCACTATTCTTCCAATAGAGCAAAATATAAAAATGCAATCCAAAATATTCCAATTCCAGGAAGAAATTCAACTTTGGACAATGAACTTGCAATAAATAAAAAAATAAAAGCCCTTAATAATTAAGAAGAAATCATTTCCCAAAATGCAGTAATGATGAACGTTCAATCCTAACAGATCAATTTACTGCACAGTTTTATGTTGACAATCTTTGTGATTAAGCTTATGTATGGCAAACAAAAAGCACCATGCATTATATTTAAGTCCAAGTCGATGCTTGTGACATAAGCAATGCATAAGAAAACAATTTATTTATAAACAGTTACATTGATATAAAAATATGTTGAATACAAGACATGCCCACGGACAGAATGTCGGACCCCCTCGTCTTTACTAAAACTATAAGCTTTAGATCAAGGAGAAAGATGTACATATAGGTGAAAGTGTAGACAATCCCTGCTATTTTGTCCTCCTCGCAACTTTTCGTGACCTTGACAAACACCTGTTCAAGGCCATTGTCTGATTTACCATAACTCGCTATCCCCAGCTCACTTTCCTTGTCCTCCAGAAGTCTAAATAATGGAACAAAATGGTGACCGTCGTCCGTCTGCACTGGGATTGTCATATGGACCTCATTGTCTACATGCTTGGATATAAAGGCAGCTGAGATTATCTGTTTTACCATTGTGAGAATCTGAGCATCTTTATTCCCATTCAGCTCTGAAGGTCCATTAGTATGCATACCTAAAAGAAAAATCTATTTATAGAATCCAATCAAACATGAATCAAATTTCAAATCAAATATATAAAAATTAAAAAATTGATTACCGATCTTTTCTTAATTTCTTTCCTTTCCAATGAGTAAATGCATGTGAGTTATACTGTAAAATTTGATATTTTTTCGAACTCTTTATATCAAGCAAATTGAAAAGGCTAAATGTTCAGGAATTATTAAAGTCAGTTCTGTAACTTTGAACGATACTTACATACTTATCCAATAATTGGAAATCTTAAATGAACTTCATAGGCAAAAATTAATCCGTCAAAAAATGTTTCTGATTATACAGTATCTCATACATGTTATTTCATAACAAGAGGGCCATGATGGCCCTGAAGTTGCTGACCTGTTAGTGTATATAGGCCCCACGGAGCGGGGCCAGTTTAAACTCCAGGGCTTTTATTTGAACAAACTTGGTAGACACCCATTAGAAGATGTTTCATGCTAAACATCTAAGGTCTAGCTCGTTGGGTTTTTTAAACCTGTTAAAAGAAGATTTTTAAAGTTTTTTCTTTACACATATATTTAAAAACAATTACACCCCTGGGGCAGGGCCAGTTTTGACCCCAGGGCTTTAATTTGAACAATCTTTGTAGACACTTACTAGAAGATGTTTCATGCTTAATATCTAAACTCTAGCTATTCGGGTTTTTTCGAAGAAGATTTTTAAGTTATTGCTATACACATATAAGGACAATCAATGTCCCCTGGGGCGGGGCCAATTTTGACCCAAGGGCTCTTATTTGAACAAATTTGGTAGACATCCATTAGAACATGTTTCATCCTTAATATCTTAGCTCTAGCTCTTTGGGTTCTTTAAAAGAAGATTTTTAAGTTTTTTGCTATATTCATATAGGGAAAATCAATGACCTCCATGGGGCGGGGCCAATTTTGACCCAAGGGCTTTTATTTGAACAAACTTGGTAGACACTTATTAGAACATGTTTCATGCTAAATATCTTAGCTCTAACTCTTTTGGTTCTTTAAAAGAAGATTTTTTAAGTTTTTACTATATGCATATAGGGAAAATCAATGACCCCCTGGGGCGGGGCCAATTTTGACCCCAGGGCTTTTCTTTGAACAAACTTGGTAGACACCTATTAGAACATGTTTGATGCTCAATATCTTAGCCATAGCTCTTTGAGTTCTTTAAAAGAAGATTTTTAAAGTTTTTACTATATGCATATAGGGAAAATCAATGACCCCCCGGGGCGGGGCCAATTTTGACCCCAGGGCTTTTATTTGAACAAACTTGGTAGACACTCACTAGAAGATGTTTCATGCCAAATATCTAAGCTCTAGCTCTTATGGTTTTTTAAAAGAAGATTTTTAAAGTTTTTTCTTTCGGTTGCCATGGTAACCAGAGTTCTGCATGGAATTAAATTCTTTGAACAATTTTTAAAGGTGACCACCAAAGGAACATTCCTGTGAAGTTTGGATGAAATTGGCCTTGTGGTTTATGAGGAGATGTCATTTAAAGTAAAAGTTTACGGACGACGGACGGACGCCGGACGCCGGACGAAAAGCGATCACAAAAGCTCACCCTGTCACTTTGTGACAGGTGAGCTAAAAAAAGCACTTGGTTACAATCCTTTATTACATGTTTTTCGGTGGTTATAGAAATATATCGGTGAAATATAAAACTGATATTTTCACTGTTTGAAACAGTGAAATTACCACTTTGATAATTTCATTGTTGTGAATTTAAGCCCCTTTCGTTGTTTCAGTGAAATACCAGCATGCATAGTACTGGAAACCAACTAAATGATGTCACATTGTATTATTATTTGGTGCGCTTTTAATTTAGCATTAAGTTAAAACGTCTTTGTCAATATTTCTTTGCATAGAATAAAAAGAAAATTCATTACATAATTGCAAGATCAAAACATATTTCACCTCGTGAACACCAAAAGTTCATATTTAACTTGTGGCTGCACCACTCGTGAAATATACCTTTTGGTGCTCACTCGGTGAAATATATTCCGATCTTACACTGACCCAAACAAATATCCTCTAAAAAATTGACAAAATATGAAACGAGCAATGTAAACAGCTGATTTAGGTAAATTGTCAAATTCTGTTCTAAATGTTAAGGAAAATAACTCAACTGAAATTACAGTCATCACTTTAACTTTTTTTTCCATTTCTTTGTTTTGAATTTTTCATTCATTGTTCTGTAAATGTCCTCAAAATGGATACATTAGGCAGTCACAGGAACAAAAAGTTATACAGAATACAATGGTGGTTTCCTAACTTTACCCACGTGAGTCAGGTTAGAGTGTTAAGATTTTATTGTAGTTGTCATAGTAAACTCTGGAATCATTTAAGAATATGTCAAATGAATGGCTTAGACCTGTTTCAATCATACAATATCCACAATATCTGTTATTGTAACTTCCAAGGTTTGTTAAAGTCACATGACTTGTTTTAAAACTACTTGGTGATTCTGCTGGCGTCCAAATGTTGTGTAACATATATAGATATATTTTCTCTTCAAGCCAAAAATATATAGAATTTATACAGAAATTCATGCTTGGACTTAGAAAATGTCATTTTAGAGTGATTTGAGTACATAAGATCATTTTAACATTTTGTCATTATTTTGCCTGAGTATCCCTTTAAACAGACTAATCCATCTTTTAAATCCATCAATTATTTTTAAGGGAAAATTTCAAAATTTTGACGTACTGAATGGCGAACAGTGCAGTCCATGAAGAAACAGCACGGATGGCATGTAATACATTGTATTGGTAAAATATGTTTCCGCAAGCAGTTTAGCTGCAATAGCAACAGTTAAACGTGCCAGTAAAATCACAAATGCATTTCCACAACAAAATCAAACAATTTTTGCATTTCATAAAAACAAGAAGCAACTTCTTTTCTTTCAGTTTATTAACTGTTACATTTTAGTTACCCATAGTGATTGTCCCTGAAGATATGTTACATTTTATGAAGGTAGAGCAAAGATTATAACATCAACTGCCCAATTCAAGAGTCAACTCTAATCCTTCAACATGTCTGGTGTAGTGCACCAACACGTGACCCGCACCGTTCATAATGTTTCAACCAAAAGACCATTACTATAGTAAGTAAAGGAGCTGATATGTGAACCTGAGACCCATTGATAAGCAGTACAGAACGTTACCAATTGACCACAGATTTATTCTACAATAAGTTGAATGTTGAGGCAGAATATGAAACAGGTTACTGCAGAGTTTTACAACAAAACCTGAATGAAATCCCATCTCACCATTATCAAAGTTTCCTCAACAATGAAAATGTAAGCTCATCCTATTGTTACAATAAAAATGACTTGATTAAACATTAACACCAAATTTGTGTTGTTTATATCTACATTATAGAAAAAATTGGGAAAATGATTACAATTTACATAGAGAAAAACAGAATCCCTAAAAAAAGCCCAACACTGCAGCAATGGAAATGTTACAGGCTCGGTTTGATTGGGCCTGTTCATGGATGGTACTGGAATGTTTAAGTTACCGTCCACGCCCCCTAGCACTGACTTAAGCAGAATTCAACATTAAAACACAAAATGGTGGAAGTTTTGAATTTAGAAACATTCCCAGATGTGTTCATATAAAACAACTCTGGTTCTGCTTAAAATATATAACAAAAAATAATCTAACTTTAACTTATTGTGTGTAATGGTGTTAACTGTATATAGTTATACTAACATAGTTGATGTTTTTCCAGCACCATTATGACCGAGGAACGAGGTGATCTGGTTCTTATACAACTTCATAGACAGACTGTCTAATGCTGATTTATCTCCCTTCTTGTATACCTAGCAAATTAATATAATTACATTATACATATTTATCAATATTCAATATCAAACTATAAAGGGAGATTAAAGATAACTTAGCAAAAAATGCCCAAAACATGCCCTTCAGGATTATCTGCCGTTTAGAAGTGCATTCTAAATTTTTTAGTGAATACCTATTAAAAAAATTCTTAGTTATTAAAGGGAAATAACTTTGTAAAATATAAATTAAGGATTATCTGCCCTTGTGAAATTGTATAGCATGAGTAAATTAGTTTGAAGCTTTGAAAGTTTCTAAGAAAATGGACCTTAACATATAAAAGGTCACAATGATCTTTGACCTTTTGAACATATAATCAGTGTGACAGGCTGAAATCATCAAGGTTTATCCACATGATAGTCGTGTTAGGGTTGCGTTCATTGAATGCAGCATTTCCTTGTTGATCTTGTTTATCATATTATATTACTATTGAAATTCCTGATGATGTGGAAACTTAACCAAAAACCAACGCCAACAAGCTTATCATGACAAAACCTCATAAAATATCAATCTTGACATACCAATGCAATATATTTAAATCTTGACATATGGATGTATTAATCTTGATAGAAGGATATATGATTCATACTCACCTTTCTCAAGTTGGTCACAACTTCTCCTCTTGTCAAGTCTCGCAGGTCTGGTTTAATATCTAGTGTACAGATACAGTCTGTGTTACACCCACACCAATATATACCTGAAAATATTTATTATATGTTGTCCGACAAGGCGAAACTGTCCTGTATTCATATTGTTCAGCATAGACAGATTTCTCATGAAATTTGACATTATATCCTTTAAAGCCTTAAAATGATTATTTATGGTAAAATTAAGATGATGATATTGAAACACAGCCCTGTTTCCACAGTAAAGGATTCATGTTATCACTAAACATTGATTTTTTTTAATATACATGATATCTATATAAATTCATAAAATAATGGAAAGGGAATAACTCCAAACAATAAACTTAAATCAGATATACCTGAGTCATCATCAACAGTGACATCATCATTTTCCGGATCATCATTGACGAGGTAGTAACGACGTCTGCTACGATTAACTCCGAACAGACTTTTAAGACAACATGTTTCCCAGTGATGTTCCACACCAGTAAGAGCTTGTGAATGGAAAATACCATGGCTTTGGTATACCATAAGATCCTAAAATAATAATAAAGAAGAGTGCCATGGCCTAAATATACCATATGTTCCTGAAATAATGAAAAATGCCATGGCCTTAATATACCATATTTCCTGATGTAATGGAAATCACCATAGCTTTGATATACAAAGAAAATAACATGGCTCTAGTATACCATTTAAGTTTCTTAAATGATAGAAAATACAATAAGTTTCTAAAATGATAGAATATACAAAGGCTTTGTATACTGGAAGTTCATTAAATAATGAAACAATACCATGGCTATGGTAGACAGTTATTACTATGTTTCTGAAATAATGCTTTGGTATTCCAATCATTCCTGGCGTAATGGAAATTATATCTAAAGAATGTGACTCATTTGATATATAGGTTGAAACTAAGTTAATGGCAGTTTCGATGCAAACACTAGAAAATTCAGGATGATTTGCATAATTACATTAACTGGTTTAAGTTCTGAATAGAACAAGCATTTGATAGTATTGCGGGCAATACAGTAGTCCCCTACCGGTCCCTCAAAAAGTTCTTTAATTGTCATACACTCCTGTGTATTGCCATTTATAATGAATTTGAGGATGAAGTCTGTATTTGAAAATATCGACCACAAAACATAATAAAATAAGTTTGTCTATATCACAGTAATGTGTTAATTTTTCATGCTTAGTAAGGAAATTATGTTTATACAACCTTGTCATATTATTACGATGTGGGATTTTAAAGTAAATCCTATAAGGAATGAAGAAGTTGGAGTGAAAATACCAGTTTCTCGAAAAAAATCTAAGTTCAAGGGGGACATAATTCTGGAAATAGTCTTGCTAGAGTATTTAACCTTCTCAAAAATGTCGAGTGATAATAAGAAACATATATATGAAGTTTGAAGTAGATACATTAGGAAATAAAGAAGTTATTTAAAAAAGACAACATTTATTCCCCTAAAAAATCTAAGTTCAAGGGAGGTAATATTGATATTTTTTGTGCTAGAGTTATAAACCTTGTCACATATGATGTGGTTGATGACCAGAAACTTATATTTAAAGTTTGAAGTAAACACCTTAAGAAATAAAGAACATATAGTGAAAAAGCTGAAAAATTTAAATCAGAAATCTTGAAATTCAGGCTATTTGTTGCCATAGCAACCAGAATTTTCAACATAGGAAGAAAAGAAAAAGATGTGCATAATCTCCAGACTGCCATCTACCCATATTTCAAGTTTCATAAAAATATTTTCAGTACTTTTTGAGTTATCACTGGATCCAGTTTATGTGTTAAATTTGCCATATTTTCAGACTATTTGTTGCCATAGCAACCAGAATTTTCAACATAGGAAGAAAAAAAAAGACGTGCATAATCTCCATACTGCCATCTATCCATATATCAAGTTTCATAAAAATATTTTCAGTACTTTTTGCGTTATCGCGGGATCCAATTTTGTGGACGGACGGACTGACGGACTGACAGACAGACGGACAGACAGACAGACGGACGGAGGGTAAACCTAAAGTCCCCTCCGGTTAAACCGGTAGGGGACTAATAAAAGACTAGTTCTAATTTTACCTGGATGTACATTCTCTATATACCAGGCCAGTATAAAGTAAACAACTGTGTCCACTGCTATCATTATCAACACAATCTATAGACTAAAATTATCATATTCCCGTGGTGACACATGTAAGTTCTCCCACTGTACACCTGATCCCTCTAACTCATAAAACAGGAAATACTTCCCGCCTACACCCAGAGCTGATGTTGAAAATATTGCCTGAAAAATAAGTTTTTATTACAAAGATTATAAAAAAATACAATGTATTCTGTTTCATTAATTTCAATTTTCTTATTTTTAAGACAAAATATCCCTCAAAAATGTTTTTATTTTTATTTCAAAAAAGTATTTTTAGTTTTGATGTTCTGTTGTATGTATTTTACAGACAGTTTATAACTCATCGGCCATTTTACAACTGAACCATATTTTGGTTTTATTGCCTTCTGTGAATTTTTGTTTGTTTGTTTTGGGTTTTACGTCACATCGACACAGTATAGGTCATATCGCGACGTTCCAGCTTTACTGGTGGAGGAAGACCTCAGGTGCCCTTCCGTGCATTATTTCAGGCACGAATGGGTACCTGAGTAGAACCACCGACGTTCCGTAAGCTAGCTGGATTATACTAAGCTTCCTCACATTAAAGAATGCAAAGTCCCCGTCGGGATTCGAACCCACAGCGGTGAGGGGCAAGTGGTTTGAAGTCAACGACCTTAACCACTCGGCCACGGACGCCCCCTTCTGTGAATTAGAAACATTATAGTGACTTTGTATTTTGGTTTAAATACAGAATTAATTTAAGTTTAATTGTGTATGAAGCGATAAGCCTATAATAGACAAACCTTGAACCAACCAGTACTTAGTGTAAATGTGTGTAAAATTTCCTGCTTAAGGAAACAAGGGCTAATTAATGCCTCCGACAGTTTTAACTCTTCTTATTAACTAAATTCTACAAGTTTCTAGCACGGATATAAAGGCTGGCCTGGCCCTATAATGATGGCAAAGCATGCCACCTAGTTACAGCAGGGTAAGGGCCAACATGTATTGGTTCATGAAGTTTTATGTCAGATACTCACAGCGACAGTTTTAATGTATGCCGGTATCCTGGTCCGCGTTAAATCCTCTCTGATGGCTATATACATGTATGGTACGTATGTTATAAAGTAAAATATACCCGCACATACTGCAGCAAGTTTAGCTCGTGAGAACATACTGTCAATTAAAAACCTGAAATACAACAGAAAACAAGAAAACAATTAAGATGCTTTTTACTCAATTCGGGCTTCAATAACACCAATTATTGATCTTCAATATATTGAATTTCGGGTATATTTTTTTATTGTTTTATCATATTTTTCCGTTTACACTATATTATATGTTATTTTTGTTTTGGTGTGATATATGTGGATATATTACCTGTTAAGATTTTATGTTAAGATTTTATATCATCCGAGGCGTTTATCTTGGCAGGTAATATATCCACATATATCACTCCAAAACTAAAATAATAATTTTATTACCCTTCCCCTGCCGGGTTAAGACAATTTTGATATAAATCATTGCTACTTCTTATGAAACGTCGAAATAAGATTCCCTTTAAGGTCCCCTTCACCACAACATGATGTCACATAAATACATGACGTATGTTCTTTCGAACCTAACGAAAGTTAACAAGAGAAAAGGAGTAGTCTGTTGAACGCACTTTTTTGGAATTAATATCAAGCTTTCACAAGGTCATATTTGTTTTCAATACTGATGAGAATATGTATCATTACTCTATTTTGGTAAATATTTATCATTTGACAGTTAAAAAGTGCTTGTAAATCGAAATTTAGTGTGTATATTACCCGTCTGGCTTGGTAATATCAATTTCTTTTGGGTGACCAATATCCAATCAAAAAGGAGAAAAAAATCTGTAAGGGTAATAAAAGATTTTTAAATATCACGTTTTCAGGCTTTACGACCAAAGTCTAGTTCCTTTAAGTGATATACTTACGAAAAAGCAATAGAAGACAGGGCAAACATTTCCAGGAACATAAACACTATGACTGGATTACTATGTGATAGTACACTTCCATAGTATAACATCAACGTCAGCGTTACCACGGTAACAGTCATCTGTACTGCGGCAGTTATAAACCACGCCCACCAGTGTACACTGTCTGATAAGCCCATCATCTTCATTACCTGTAACTCTGAATAAGTTTTATAATATACTTGTGGAATACAAAACTAATGAGTGAAATATAACCTATACCGTTTATCATGTATATCTTTAACCCTACATCACTCATTTCTGAAACAAGAGGCCCATAGGGCCCTGGATCGCTCAACTGACAAATAGGTCAAACGGTGAAAGTGGAGCCCCTTTTCACCCCAGAAACTCAATTTGAAAACAAGGAACAGCATAATCTGAACATTTTTTGTACACTGACACCAGGAAAATTTTGGTGTAAAATTATTTTAAAATTGAACCAGTGGCTGAGATGTTGTTTAGCTCTTGTTTTCTAATTTTAGCTCTGGCAACCATTTTATCAAACAGTTTAGCCTGTAGGCTGTGAAAGGTAAAGCTAATAAAAAGATGACAGAAAAAAAGAAGGAAAACAAACATTTGACATGCCTGGGGATTGAACTGTCGACCTTAATCCCTTGAGGTGGGGTCAATTATCACCTTAGGGGTTTTATTTCAACAAACATGGTAGAAATACACTAAAACGTGTTTCATGCCAAATATCAAAATTTTTTCAGTTTTTACTATACACATAAGAGAAAAATCAATGACCCTTTGGGCCGGGCTTATTTTGACCCTAGGACTTTTATAAGCACAAAGTTGGCAGACATCTATTGGAAGATGTTTTATGCCAAATATCTACGCTGTCGCTCTTTTGGATTTTCACAAGAAGATTTTTTTTTTTAATTTTTACTATATACATGTATATATATGGAAAATCAATGACCCCCTGGGGTGGGGCCAATTTTGACCCTAGAGCTTTTATTTAAACAAACATGGCAGACATTCATTAGAAGATTTTCTTGCCAAATATCTAAGCTGTAGCTCTTTTGGACTTTCATGAGTAGATTTTTTAGTGTTTAGTTTATACATATAAGGAAAATCAATGACCCCTGGGGGCGGGCCAATTTTGACCCTGGTCTGGGCATTAATTTGAAGAAATTTGGTGGACATCCACTAGATGAGGTTTCATGTCAATTATCTAATCTATAGTGCTTTTGGATTGTCACAAGGAGATTGTTTAAGTTTTAACTATATACATATAAGGAAAATCAATGGCCCCCTGGGGTGGGGTCAATTTTGACCCTATGTTTTTATGTGAACAAACTTGGTAGACATCCACTAGAAGATGTTTCATGCCAAATATTTAAGCTGTAACTCTTTCGTTTTTTTTACAATAAGATTTTTTAAGTTTTATTGTAAAAATAATCTTTTTTTTTGCCACGACAACCAGAGTTTTTGATGGATCCAATTCTTTGAGCAACTTCGGTAGAGCTTCATGCAAGGAACATCCATGCAAAGGTTCAACCAATTTGGCCAAGTGGATTAGGAGGAGAAGTTGTTCAAAGAAATTGTTGATGCACACACGTACGGATGGACGCACAGACGGACAGTCGATGGACGACGGACAATGGGCCATCACAAAAGCTCACCTTGAGGTCATTGTCCTCAGGTAAGCCAATTATTGAGTTCAGTTTTCTTGTTTATAGAATATTCTGCTTCAGTGTGACATTTTATATAACAAGTATACTATAATAAATATACGTTCATAAATGCTTGTAAAATATTTTATGTAAACCAAAAAAAAAAAAACTATTTTAAGGGATATTTAACAAGCAATAGCAGGAGTGCCAAAAAAGTCATTTGAAGACAAAAGAAATGCAAATATAAAAGAGGTAAAATATGTTAACAAAAATGTTCAAACCTCTTAATCTTTTCTCCTTTTCATAGACAATTTTCTGTACGAGCATAGCAACTGAATAAACCCATGACAACATCACTCATAGTGGTATAATATGTTGTATTCAGATAAATCTGAAATTAAACATTTAATGTCAAATAGAGGATATTTGTTTGTTTTGCATGTAAGATTGAGATATATTTCACTGAGTGAACACCACATGCAATATTTACACGAGTGGCATAGCCATAAGTGAAAATAGAATAGCTGGTGTTCACGAAGGAAAATATATTTCAATCATATAAATTATGTAAAACAAATAAATTTTCTTTTTATTTCATGCTTTTTAAGTATTTTTTACTGATTTGCCACGTAACGTCTTGCATTCTCATTTATGACGTCATCACATCATGATGTCACATCATCAATTTTGAAATATAGTTCTGTTAAATTTCTCTAAATTTGTTACATTTTTGACATGATGTATAATGATATTAACTTTCTTTTCCTAAAGAAGCAAAATTTACGTATGCCAACATTAATTTTGCCTGTTATTTCGTATAGTTTCGATATTCTATTCATACGCATTCAGATATAGTCCGGCTACAGTGAAAATTTTATTTTATAAATTTCACTAGTGGTTTATTATGATTATAATCATCTGATATATTACAGTAAAAACACTCGACAGCATGAAATAAAATAAGTTTTTATAAATTTTATCAGGGGAGGTGACAAGAGCCTTAATTACAAAAAATTAATTAGGAGATAGCAAACCCTTAAAAAATAAGCTTTACCAATGGAGGTAAAGTAATAAATGCCTTTATAACTTAAAAATAGCAACAATAACTTTTACTCATCATTTATTGATAACATCATTATCTCTATGTATTGAGTATAGGTTGTTATAAATCACTTATAAAATTACTAAATTAATGTTTTCATTTTTATAAAATGAATTATACATGAAAAGTCTAAAGCAGATTAAAACCATTAAATTGATAAACGTAGGTTCAATGTAATTATCAAAATATTGAATTCTAATTTTATAGATTTTGCGATTCAGACGTGAGCTTTTGGTCAATATTTCAAATATTTCAAAGCCGGGTATTACTAAGTACCGAATATGAATTCATATTTGCGAATATAAAGAGAATACCGAATATGAATATTACTTTCATAAAATTTTGGCATAGGGTCAAATATTATACCATAGTGAATATTTCATATTGTTTGATTTCATTAACCTGTCAATTCCATACTGATTATACGGTCAGTGCACAGAATATATCAATATTCATTAAATGTTCGGTAAAATACGTGAGATGTACGCAGTGAGTTGTGATTAAATGCATCATGTTTTCTATGAATTAGTTACACTGGCCGTTATAGCGCAATAGGGTAAACTACCGGTATATAATATCAAAATGTCCTAGATGTTGTAAGATCGAGACAGCGTATGTCCAAGGTTTTTTTTTCTTATTCATAACCATTTTCAACATTTTTTAAGTTATGGTTGTTCTTTCTGTTTTTAATATATGCTTTGCAATTTTTTGGTAAATACTATAACTTTTGTATATTTATAAGATTGTTCAAGAATGCATTCGGATTAAAATCGATAAATGTGATTTGATTTCAGTGCCGTAAAACACAATATAAAACGTGACAATTTTAATGTTTCTTAGTTGTTTCATATCCGTGTAGACAATTTTTTGGCAAACGCTTGAACAATTTTCATATTAAAATATACTTAAATATAAAGAAAGCATATGCCTCAAAGAATGTCAAAAAAAGGAGTCGAACCTCGACCTCTCAAACATTAGGTAAACACTTAACCAACTGTGTTATTGCGGATGTTACAAGCACCTATATAAAAGCTAGTGAGTTTTCCAAACATCAAGTTATACACTCCATATTAATTCTCGTAAAATAAACGGACTAAACCGAAGTGGGATTGAATATTTTAAATGAGTGCTATAATGTATTCATAATTGACAGGTCAATAAAATCAGACTATACTTGAAAAATTAAAAGCATAATTAGTATATTTTATAAGCGTTGTTTTTTATATGCATGTATAAAGTATCAAATTAATGTTCATATTTTGTATTCTTGTCATTCTGGTATCTTTCTTGTCTCAAAAAATTTGCAACCAATGCATTAAAATTCATTTAATTTCATTCAATAACATGATGCTAGTATATAATATTAGTCTTTGTTTACGAAACTATTTCAGACAAAGTTCCTTTATATCTATTTAATATTCATATTCGGTATCTTCGTTCTAATCTGTCAATCTTTACAGTACTGTATAGCGAGTCACAGTAACTAAATAACTTAGCTAATTAAACTGTCCTTCTATGTTAAAACAAGGTTTCATTTAAAGTTATAGTTTGAAAATATCTATTTTTATCACATAAACCGCGGCGCAGGAGTGTAATAAAGCCATTTAATAAAACGATATTACCTAGTGCGTACAATAACACTTTGATGTGACGTCATTTGCGCTATATATAAACATAGTGCGTGAAAGCGCGCTAATGTTTAGCGTTACACTATAGGCGCGTCATTGAAAAATTACTCATTTTAACAGTTTACTGTTCTTATTTATATATATGTGATAAATAGAATATTATATTCGTATAGATTCAATACTAAATTTATTGAACTTGTTGAACAAACAATATTATGCTCGCCAAAGGCTCGCATAATATGAATTTATTCAACTTGTTCAATAAATTTAGTATTAAACTAACACTCATTCAATATCCTCTATCTATACTTTTGTGAGCTATTTTAATATACTGTTTAAATAGTAACGTTTCATGTTCGTCATTCTCGTTCATATTCGGGTAACTTTTTTGGTCTACAACCAAAAGATCAGAATTTATTTTCTTTCATTAAAATACATATGATAACAAGTAATTAATAGTCTGTGTTGACGTAAGTAATCCAAAGAGCTGATTTTAAGAAAATAATATTCATATTCGGTACTCCCGTTCATATTCGCGAATTTTGAATTTATATTCGTTATTTAGTCGTTACCATTCAAAGCAGTCCATTATGACAGAAGCTTTCCTAGCAAAATGTTTGCGGAACTCAAGAGGGCATTTTGTGGTCTGCAGTTCTTCTCTTTCTGGCCAAATATAATGAAATGTTTCCATTCTAACAAATCATTTAATAATGGTATAACCAAAGTAAAATTCTTGATAGTGTGGAGGATGAAGTCTTAAATCTAATATGCCAAAATCTTACAATTGGGGAAATTATGTTTTCAGTCTCATAAGAGTGAGCAACATACTTTCCTGCAAATGCCTCAAAGACACAATTCATTTCCTATTTTTCATTTAAAGAAATGGTGACACAAAATCCCATAACCACCAATCAAAGTCAGAAAATTAACTGAAAAGCCTGTAATAATATTTTACTTTTCCTTCATTGTCCTTCATGTAGAATGAGTTCAGTTTCTGATTTTTAAAAGCCTCATCTTCTCCGACAACAAACTCTCTGAATTTCAGTATTATAAATTTAAATGCTTTCCAGTGTTTTATTGTAATATATCAGATATTTATATTCTGATAAACCACAAGTGAAATTTATAAAATATAATTTTCACACTGTAGCCGAACTATATTATCTGAATGCAGATGAAAAAGAAAATCATAACTAAATGGAATAACGGCAGAAATAAATGCTGTCATGCGTAAATTTTGCTTCTTTAGGAAAATAAATTGATGTCCCATCATACATAATGTTAAAAATGTAACAAAATAAGAGAAGTGGTAACAAAGACCTATATTCAAAATTGATGATGTGACGTCAATGATGTGATGACATACACAAGGAGAATGCATCGACGTTACATGGCGAAATTAGTAAAAAGTACTTTTAAGGTGACAACTGGAGTCAATTTATCAACTGAAAATACCTAAAATGAGATTTTTTGCTTAGTATTATATTTATAACACCTTTTCTGAACACATTCGGTGATTTAATTTTGGAAGCAGTTAGTCCAAAAAATAGTGTTTTTTAAACGTTTAAAAACGGTACCTGTACTATTTTTATCTGCTATCCGCGTAACCTGTCCAATTATCGATAACGCTCCGCCCCCTGTTGATGGCATCCAAAATGAGGGAAAATCGGTAGTTCCATAATATGCGTGAATTACCAGGTCCATACTGGTCCATACTACTCGTAATTCATGTATCGTACAAATACCGTACATCTTTCATGAAATATCGTCTACCTTTTATTTAGCCTTTTTTATAAAATAAGAAAATTGTCGGCCAATGTACGAACATAATGTATTGAAACATAAATAATTAAGCATAGGCGACAAATCGCACGACCACGGGGTTGATTAAAAAAATATAGTTGCTAAATATCCATAATGTGTGAAAAATAATTTGTCTGTCCCAGTTAATCTGATAGATATTACATTGAAGTTTTGGGACTTTTGTACGGATTCAAGGGCTTGCTTTACATTTAACCGATCGTTTTCTAACAATGTCAAGTAAAACAACAAACAAAAACAGACAACATTTTTTTTATGTGAACGGCCTATTGACTTGGTGGTAAAGGTTCTCCCTGACAAATTTCTAAAACCTTTTAGGGGTTGTCTAAGGAATGATTATTTCTTCTATGAATCAATAAAAAAAAGATAATAAAATAAAATTATCAGTAAAATGCTTTGAAAATAAATTGGGGTTCGCTTAGTAATCGAACACAGTACTAAATAAACTGGGAGGGAAAAGTTGGGAATTTATTGGGTATATCCCAGTAGAAAATGGATCTCTAATGCCGTGCATAGAATGATTTTTCAATGATAAATAGAAGTCAAAAAAGGTCAGATCATAATGATCGGGGAAGTGATACCTTTTATTTTCTAATTAAAAATAATGTGAAGCCATTTTATATCAATTTGGAGGGAAAAAAATAATAAAAATCCCCGTTCTTATTTGTACATCTACCATGGACTTTAAAATAACTGGGGGTCAGAAGCATCAAAGTTTTTATGTTTTTTTAATTTATATTTTTTAACGGAATTTCAATACCACGAGTACACAGATAGAGTGGACACTGGTATAATATAATAATAATGCTGATGATAATAATATATAAACTTCAAATGTAGAA